CTATTTTCCTTTTTCAGAAAACTGAAAAATTGCTATTCTTAAAGTATGGGTTAAAAGGCAAAACCATGCTAAAAGTCTTCTTTCATCTGAGCTTACCCTCTTGCAAGGGCAAATAGTTTTATTTTACCAAAAGGGAATGATTGTGTCCCTTCAGAATGGTATTATATTCATAGGGGGTAATTAATACTAGTAAGTTTTGATGGCATCCAGCAATTTATGGACATTTTTGACCAATAGTCAGAAGAGGAAGAATAACACAGTGAACATTTATTTGAGACAGTCAAGGAGTTCCATGTCCACTGACCTGGAGTCTTGTGTTGGCCACTTAGTGGCAGAGTCAATCTGCAATATTCTTGTAGTTGCTGTTGTGACTGCCATCTTGGTTACAGGCACATTTTATGCAACCAGAAGCAAAAGACATGATAATTTACTTTAATAACTGTCCTCAGCTATCTGCCAAGAGATTAGATCAGAGAGATATGGAGCAGGTGGGAGGATCCCTGATATAACTATATTTTTCTGTGGGGAGTGGAGGGATTACATAAACAAAGTCTGGCCTGACTAGTAGTAAACATACCAGGGTAATATTAGCACACCTTATGAGAACTTGTCCATCTCTGAAGTAAACTCCTATTTGATATGAAAATATATTGTTGTCAGAAGATCTCTGGGAGTTAATGAGTGTTTGCAGAACTGCCAGGTACAGGGCATAGACAAAGCACTTCATCAAGCCATGTAAAATGGATTCCTGGGAGTGGTTCTATAAGAGGTATGTTCCAAGTCTGCTGATAAGTATAATTGCACAGGAGTTGTAATAATAAGTCATTAATCTGCTGCACAGCTATATTTCTAAGGAGAATACTGGAGGTTTTAGAATTTTTATCTTGAGAGTTACGTGTTACCAGAGTGCCTTATTACTCCTATAGTCTAGAAATAGATAGTAAAAAGACTAGAGAATGTGGTAAAGAAAATTTCATCTCGTCGAGTGCAAGATTGTAACAAAATCAGAGAAATGCAGGTAACTGGAGACACTTCTTGGAGTTGTGCAAAAATCCCTTATAAACTTGATTAATTAGATTTTCTTAACTTTAAAAGTTCCCTCTCAACTCTCAGGTAAGTAAATGAGTCACAGAGTCAATGCCAATTCATTCTTCCCTTCCCCTTTGCATCCTCTTGAGTTAAAGAGAGCTAACAGCAGAGTGTAATGACCAGAGCGTAACAGAACTTTTCCCAATCTGGAGCACTGTTGCTATTTTTTGTTGCCTAAGCATCCTATCATGAAATCTTATGGAGAGGAACTGTGATAATTTTTGTCCTGTGTTGGGGTTGGGGTGCGAGGGATTTGAAACTATCTGAAGAAGTCAATATGGTCTTTGGAGATTCACGCAGTCATATTGAAGTTTTTAATTATTTATCTGTCCTGAGAACATGTTATGAGGCAAATGCAATACAAGCATGTCCTCTGACAAAGGGGAATCCACTTGCTGAATGTATCATGAAATGAGCTTTTATGAAGACACTAGGTAGTAGAGATATGTGCATTACTGAAGAGTTTTTTGGCACCCTTCAGTCTCTTTCTCCCAATGATGAGAATGACATTGGGTTCTGTTCCTGGGGAACTCACTACATAATGTTTAGTTAGCCAAAACTAGCCCTTGGAAAAGATGTTGAACATTAGGGAATATTCAGAAGATCTACTGGGTAGGTGGCCACATGAGGATAAACTTCCTGCTATCTCTAGAGCCATGAGTACACAGCAATTATAGGAAAGAGGAAGGAACCAGACTTGGAGCCTCACCACCAACTTCCAGTGATAGCTTGTTCCATTTAACCCATGAAATCTTCCTACATCAGTGGCAAATCTATTTCAAATCATTTCCAGAAACCATTTAATGGGTAAATTCTAAAGAAAGGAGGAGCAATTTTACTGGTGTGTTGCCTAGTGTTATCACATCACATACTTCAACCTACTTGTTATGAGTCAAGTAGAAAACAATTCTAGTATTGTTAATAATGGAGATAGGAAAGAGCTTGCATTTACATCCTGGCTTTGAGCATTCTTAAACCAAGAGGCTCTGGGTATTTTTGGAAATTTCTTTAGTAGACAGCACCTGGACCTATCCTGTCTCTCAATGTTTTTCTTGCCACTAATGTTCTTGAGTCACAAGTTAAAATTTGGTTTTGATAGCCCTTGAGTTCTAAACTCGACCACAGAAAAAAATATGGATAGTTGTGGCAGAAGCCCAGACCTCCAATTCTATGATCAAGTCATATTTTCTATATGCATTGCTAGACAAAAAGGAGAAAAAAGCCAAACTTCTGGGGTTTTTTTCAGGGCCATCATTATTCATATTAGCATTTGTGTGTGTGTGTGTGTGTGTGTGTGTGTGTATACATATTGTATGGCTTGACTATGTAAATAGTGGAAACAGCATTGGGCCAGTAGTCAAGAGACATGAATGTAAGCCCCTTCCCTTATCTTGGTGTCAGTTTTCTATATCTAATTGGGAGTAGGAAGGAAAAAGCGTCTTCCAGGTTCTGATTTATGTGGAATGTTTCTTGTTACTCTTTTTTTTTTCTTGATGATATGAGAGTGAGAGACAAGAGGATGACTACCTCTAAAATCAGTATTTCCCATACCCCAACAAATCCAGGGAGGAACTCCTTATTTAGTCTGGTGTGGTTGCATGACCAAGGGTGAATATAGGAGGCACTGCCTAATTAGATATGATATGACTGCATACTGGCTTCAAAAGGGGAAAGACATAGCATCAATATTATAGTTTAGATATGAGCTGTCCCCAAAAAACTCATGCGTGAGACAAAGCAAGAAGGTTGAAAACTGAAATGATTGGTATGACAGTCTTAACCCAATAAGTGAACTAATTCCCTGATAGTGGCTGGTGTCTGTAGGCAGGTAGGGTGTGGCTGGAGGAGGTGGGTCATTGGGGCCATGTCTAGAGTATTTTGTCCCTGGATGATGGAGTATTTCCTCTCTCTCTCTCTCTCTCTCTCTCTCTCTCTCTCTCTCTCTCTCTCTCTCTCTCTCTCTCCCTTCTCCTTCCTGATGATGCTATTTTTACAACTGCTTTCCTCTGCCACTCATTTCTGCCATGATGTTTTTTGCCTCAGCTCAGGTTTTGAGGAATGGAGTCAGACTTCTATGGACTAAGAACTCTGAATCTATGATCTCCAAAATAATATTTTCCTCATTTATATTATTCTTTTCAGGTATTTTTGGTCACCACAGGGAAAAAGCTGACTAAAACAGAAATTGGTACCAAGAAGTAGAGCCATTGATATGACTAACCTGACCATGTAGTTTAAAAGTTTTGGAGCTTTTTGGAATTTATAAGATGAATTTTGAAATGTTTAACAATGCAAGCTGGTAAAGCTTTAGAGTGTTCTAAGTGGACCCCAAAAGGCAATTCTGGTGGAAGTTCAGAAGACCAAATGCTCATAGGATGGGGTTTATGATATTTCAGAGGAGGAGGACTCTATTGGAAAGTGGACTAGAGTTCATTTGTTTTATGTTCTGGGTAAGAATTTATCTCCATTTTTTCCATGTCCTGAGACTTTCTGTGAGGCTGAATTTAAAGATGATAGACTAAATAATCTGCCAGAAGAAATTTCTAGGCAGAATAGCATTCAGGCAGTGGCATGCATGTGTATTAATGGCAACTTGTAGCCAAGTTTATTTTGAAAATCAGAAGCAGAAAGCAAAGAAGAAATATTTGAAAACTTGCAGTTTGGCCAGAAAACTGAGCAAAACTGGGGCTAAGGAAGATGTGGTTTTTAAAGACATTATACACACTAAAGATATACTAAAGATTTTGCCAAGAAACAGTAAAAAAAGATGGCATGAGGGCTTCTCAAGAATATGTATGACCACACCCATCTCAGGCTCAAGAATGTTGAAGTAAAATATCCTTAGAAAAGACCGTGGGCGCACTCTACTTGCACAGGGGTACCTAGGAAGTTCTTTCACCATTCTCAGCCAACCAGGCACTCAGAGACTACTGCAGCCAGAGTCCTTGGAGGCTTGGCTACTGCTCAAGATGGTGACAGATCTTGGCAGCAACCACATCATGCTGGATTTTCAAGATTAGGGGGTTATGGAGGCTTCCACCAAGATTTCAAAGGAAGACCTAAGAGGCTGGCAAATTGCAGTAGGTTTGGATTACCTGTGGGAATCCCCTGATAGGGTGATGCATGGAGATGTGAGGAGGAAATTGAAGCTGTAGTGGACACCCCAAAGATTAATAGACACAAGTCCAGTGACATGTCTGTCAAGAAAAGCTGCAATCTGGAGGGGGCATCAGAAAAAGAAAAGTATCTCCCACATTGCTTTCATCTGAGACACTTTGTTGCTATGGACCCAACACATTTGCCTGGGATTTCAAGTAATGGTATTCTTGATATCCACATTAGTAAATGGCCAGGGAATCTGTTTGCATGTTTTCTGGTCTTGGAAGAGAATATATTTGATAAGTTTGTTGTATTTGTAGAGTGTATCCTAAATACACTCACCAATGAAAAACCCCTGAAGGTTTTGGCTGCTTTAATTATTAAGAAAAGATACCCTGGGCTGGGGATATAGCTCAGATGGTATAGTGCTTGCCTTGCATGCACAAGGCCCTGGGTTCAATCCCCAGCAACATACAAAAAAAGATACCCATGTAAACATCTACTAAACCAATGTTGGAGGTTAATCAATGAGGTCTGAATAAAATGTAACCCAGGTTTTGATTGGAGAATCTTAAGGTCTTTAAAGAGAGACTAGAATTTGGTCATTTTAGTAACCTTCACTAAAGAATAATAGGAAACATTGGTGAGGTGCACATGTGGAATTACTGAGGCTGATTCTATGAGGCTAGCCACACCTGGGTAAGTTAATATGCATTTAACAGCAGAAGATATAGAAGTGGAAGTAATTGTGTGTATCAGGTCTGGTAGCCTAGCTTGAGGCAGCTGTGCCCCACAAAAGTATGAGAAATAAATATTTTTTGAACTTTCTCTTTTTTACTTCTTCCATGAAAATTTAGTAACAGTGTAACAATGACATAGATATGAAAAGAATTATTGACTTTTAGGAGGAAAAGGGAGTGATGTGAAAAACAGTAGAAAGGAACAATCCTGCTAGTGAGTTACATGGGTAGAGTGCTGTAGTGGAGCACAAAGTTATAGTCAGGAGGTGGGCTGTGGCACTCAAGGGTGGGATCCAGTGGCAGGAGAGAAGATACTTCCATCTGATCTTCTTGTCCAAGCTTAGGGGCTGAATGGTATTTCAAAATATCCAGCTCAGTCTCCATCAGAAGGGAATCTTTGTTCTTGCTGAGAGGTCTCAGGCTGGTCAAAGAGAAAGAGAAACATGAGTAGTTTGGGATAGAAGAGTACATCTTGAACCAGTGGATGACAAATATGAAGGAAATCCAAAGCATATTTTGAAAGATCATGTTTCTTCTCTATATGATTAAGTTTCTTCATATATTGGGTGGATATGAGGGAATATGGTTGGATTAGTTGACTTTAAAGCTCTTCCTGGCTCTAATATTCTATGACTGGAAGTCTAGATCCTATATAGTTCAACTAGTTCAAACTTGGCTTTAATTGGATGCTTGCTTTTGGAGAAGTCATTATCTCTGGTTCACCTTTTCCTTGTCTTTATAATTACAGGCTTGCACTTAATGGTTTCAAAGAATTCATTCATCTCTGGAAGTTTAAGAAACCATGTGCTCTGATTCTCCTGCATGAGCATTAAAATGTCAGGGGATTCTTGTACAATGGCCTTGTCAATTTCCATCTAATAGTGATGATAGATCTATTGCTAGCTACCATAGTTTGAGCATTCACTATGTATTATGTACATATATTGAGTGTAGTCTCATTTATTTCTCATACAAGTTAAGTACAATTAGTAATCCCATTTAATAGACTAGCAAACCAAATCCCAGAAGCTAGAATTCAAACTAAGATCTGCCTGGTTCCAAGGGTTGTGAATAGAAGATGACTATTTACATTTTATTTTGTCTTCCAAATATAAATGTTCCTATTAATGATAAAGAGGTGAAAGTAGGCACTTCAAGGAAACATAACTAGGGTTGAGCCTTCTCAAAGGACCTAAAAGGGTTGATCAAGTAACTGAAACCAACTTAATGTTCAGGACTTCTGAAATTGAGAGAAACTTCCTCGTGTTGAGAATTAGGGACTCCCCTCCATGACCTAATGGGCACCAAGAGAGCTGGGAATAGAGATTGCCTTCTTGACAGGCCTTTCTAGCACAGGGCAACTAATGTTACATACTTATATTTCCTGTCTTTTGTCTCACTGCACAGTCTCTTCTCTTTTAAATCTATGCTTACCTTCAGAGATTTTGAAGATAGAACTTTTGACATAATGTTTCTTTTATCTTCTTTCAAAGCTGGCTTTGTAAAAAACCTATTTGCCTACTAATTTTACTCCAGATATTTCTGGAGCAGTGAGCTACATAGCCTATCAGAAAGATCAGTAAAATAGAGGGAAGGGGATGGGGGAGGGAGGAAGAAAGGGAAAAGGGAAGTACTGGGGATTGAATTAAAACAACTTATATTCTATGCTTTTATAATTATATCACAATGAATCCCAATATTATGTATAACTAAAAAGAACTAATAAACATAATCACTCTTGCTCTTCTTTGGGAAATGGATTGGTAGAAAGCTTAATTTTAGTTAGGAGGTTACATTTATGGTATAGCTCAAAGAAGATGGTCACACAGACTGGGGTGTTTTCAGTGGGAGTAGCAAGAAATGGGCATATTTATTGAACATTGAAAATGTTTGACCCTGGCAAAATGATTAGACATGGCTTGTGTCTTGTGTCATATCCTAAGACAAACCAATGTGTACCGTTATCTGCCAATGTGTGTCTGTGAGCTAGACTCTGACAAAGAATCCCTTCTACTAGTAGAGTAATGGAGACCAGGAAAATACACAATATGGTCCCATATTTCAAGATAACTCATATTCTAATTACAGAAATAGGACCTCTTCCAGTTTGTAAAAATATTGAAGAAAATTTACAGAGAAGTAGAAAAGGCTAGAGTGGAAGATGAGTATTACAACATAGACATTAGGTTCTTTAAGTACAGGAACTTTATCCTTTTTCCCTATTTCCAGTTTTTGGCACATATTAAGAGAAAAATACATGGATTTCATGTGAGATATACAGAAGCCTCTTCTTTTGAATGCCCTTAATCCCAAACTGTATTATTGTTTAATCTAGTTTCTGAGATGAGTTCAATTTTAATCAGTTTTAAAGGTGAGGACTTTGGCAATGATGTTCAGGATTTCTGTGGCTTATGGGCAATACCTGGAAAGGTGTCTTTCTCACTACTCAATATGCCATATTCTTAATGCCTGTGAGAGGGAAAATTATCTCCTAGGCAATGTATCTTTCACTAATGTGTGTTTAAATCAGAGGTGTTCATCTGTTCTTGAAACTGTATCCCCAAGTAGTGTACGTACAGTAAGGCTGTGATGCCATGTGGCCAGGCATGGGTTTCCAGGCACTTCTGGCTTTTGGTTTTATCCCAATTAAGAACAGTTGCATAGTCTCCTGTATCCTTGAGATAAAAAGGATAAAAGTATTAGTATACTCTCTGGCACATTGAATCAGGTATCTAAAAGGCTATAATAATTCAGACTACTCTTCTTATTTTTACTAGTATATGACCATCCCTAACTTAAATAGATATCTATGAACATATCTACCCAGTTAAAGATTATTTCTTAGCTTTCTATTTACCTAAATGTGGCTCTGTTATTATATTCTGGACAACCAATTATAAGAAGAAGTGATGTATGTAACTTCAGTGTCACTTTCTAAAACAAAATTGCTAGTCCTTCACTTCCATTCTTCCTATTTTTTTTCAGACTTTTATGCAGATATACTGGTGAGCCAATTTCAACCATGTTGATAAGAACAAACTCTTAGTCTCTAGGAGATTGTGAAAAATTAATATAGAAGGAAACAGGGTTCCTGTACAAACTCCAAAACCTGAGTACTTTTCAACTGTGAAGTAACCCATATCGGTGAAATGTAGTGTGATAAAGAAATATCTCTCCTTTTGACCTCCCATATTTGGAGACATTTTAATTATGGTAGCTTAGCTTAAATATTGACAGAGCTTCTCAGTCAGCAAATAGTCCATATGGAGTCTTTTTAAAATTTTATCAGTAGTTTCTATTTTTTAAATATTTTTCAATAGCATGAAGAGAGAGCCTACAGAATGAAAGAAAAATCTTTGCCAACTGTACTTCAGATACAGCATTAATTTCCAAGATATATAATGAATTCAAAAACTTAACATAAAAAACAATCAATAAATTGGCAAAGGAACTAAACAGACACTTCACAGAAGAAGAAATATGAATGCTCAACAAATATATTTAAAAAGTTCAACATCTCTAGCACTTAGAGAAATGCAAATTAAAACTATATTGAGATTCAATATAGAGTCTGAAGAGTAGCTGTGTTTCTATTCTTGATTTGTCACATTGATTTGTGACTCTGAGAAAGTCTATGAAATTCTTTGGGCCTGAGATTTTATTTATTTTTAATTCCTTATTAGATTATTAAATAAAGATGAAATAATCTATGTGGAGGTGTTATACAAATGCCCTAATCATACTAAAATACTCTGCCTGGATCAGAGTTACACTATTGATTTAGGATTAAGATTATTGACCTCAGCTTCATAAATCCATTCTGACAGCTGTTTGAAGATCACCTAGTCTTAAATCCAATTTGTGGCTATAAATAAACAGGCAATGGGGTATGTGAAGTGCCCAGGTCAGGGCACCAGATGCCCAAAACATCTCTGGTATGGGGGTCGTAGCCAGGCAAGAGGGGGCTACAGTGTAGCGGAATGCTTGGGCCAGCACCTTTCAAGCAAACCTAGACCCATACCATTTCCATGCCTCCATGCCTCCATGCCTTACCAATATTGCTTCTTGCTTGTAACAGATTTCAGACTGCTGATTTTTTTTTAAAAAAATATCTTCTTCCTTTGATTCACTGGCCCACAGACCAACAGTTATGCCTCAAATCACTGTCCAGAGCTTCTCACAAGTCTTTGCCACAGACTCAATGTTAAACCCACATTGTCTCATGGTGTGGGCACCATCTAACCCAATGAAAATTAAAGCATTGATATCCACTGATGTTCATAGGTCTTTAACACAGACAAACACAGACACACATACTGTAAAAAGAAAAAGAAAAAAGAAAAAACACAGGATTTCTGATTTCCCAGGAAGAATGCTTAAATAATTAGGCATTTTTAAAAGTGGGTCTCTTTTCCACTTTCATAAAATACACTAGTAAGTGTTGGTACCCTCTCCTCTCATGCTAGCTCATTAGTCTCTTTTCTACTCAAATAGTGGTTTTCCCTGATAGTAAACTCAGCATTGCAGAAGATATTCAAAGGAACCCTAAAAATAGAAGAGCCAAAAAAACTAACGCAGAGATCAAGGGAAAATAAATCTTATTAGAAGAGTATACCAGCCAATGAGAATTAGGAACAAGTAAACATAAGAAATACTACAAAATGATAGAAAATAATACATACTTTTCTATAATAACACAATTTAAATGGGCAAAATTATACAAGTAAAGATATACATTGATAAATTGTGTGAAAAGCAAGAACTAATTGTGTTTTCTGCAAGGAACTCATTTTATTTATGAACAAACCTATAATGTGAAAATGAAAGAAGAAAAAATTAAATTCCATGCAAACAGAACCTGAAAGCAAGAGTGGTTATTCTCAGGCCTGATGAAGTAGACTTCATGCCTAAATTAATAAGAGACAACGATGGTTCAACACATTAGAAAAGACAAGAACTCCCCAATATCATTGTAAATATTTTTACTCTAAATGACAATGTGCCCAATTTCATAAAACATGCATTGCTTCACATAAAGGGACAGATGAGCACTGATACAATAATAGTGGCTGATTTAAAAAACACCACTCTCATTTCTATTTAGATAGAAAATCAACAAAGATATTACAGAGTTTAACTATTCTTTATTTCAAATGGAATTAGACATCTACAGAA